TTCTTCTTCTTCTTCTTCTTCCTCTTCTTCTTCTCCTCTCCTCTTCTCCTCCTACTCCTCCGAAGTTCTTCTTCTTCTTCTTCTTCTTCTTCTTCTTCTCAGAGTAGAGATAGAGGTAACTGCAGACATTGTTTGAACATGGCCTTCTGCCTTATTGGACATGACATTCAGATCGRACTTACACTGGGATTGGAYTGTGTACGACATTTGGAGATCAGACTTGGGTTAGACTTGCTTGCCTATGTCTCCCCCCTCTCTATCTCGCATGTCTATGGATCTCTCCCCATGTGTGTGAGCGGAAGGGCAATCTTTCTGATGTCTTGCCCTTCCGAAGTTTATCCGTGTCTGTCTGTTCACGTGTCCTTTGGTTACTAGATATTCCGCTGCGCTGCTTCACAGCCCATGATGATAATGATACAAATGTGTTGTTGTTGATTTCTCGTTGGGTTGCTCTTTGCATCATGCACATTGACATCTTGTGAATGCTGCACCTATGCTGCTGGTTGTTGCCACTTTCGTCATTGCTAGATCCTAGGCTGTCAGTGCATTTCACTTTCTGATATGCTACACACTGCTACGCCGTGGCTGGTCAAGATGTTGTACAGCCATGCTTGACACGCACCACCAGATCGGTGGTATAAGCACGGATGTCGATCGTTGTTCGGGACATGGTGCATGTCGAGCCTGAGAGTAAACTGGCGCCACCACGGGATCGGTTCCGTCTTGGACTGATCGCAGAAAACTGGAATGTCATCCAGTTTGGGTGGGCGCCGGGAGGATGCGGCGGCGGGCGTCACGGTGGCAGCAGCCTGTACCTGCGTCTCCAACTGCAAGTTCGTTGCTTGCTGCGACGTCCGGAAGTCCTGATGCACACGCTTGATGTTGTTGACGTCATCCTCCAAAACTTGCACACGGGTGGTAAGGGTGGAAGGCCCTGCGGCTGCTATAGCAGCTGGCTGTTTCTCCAACGCCTGCAGCCGTGCGAGCATCTGGTCCACTGTCTGCTGCAGGTGAAGGATTTCCTCCTGCTGCAGAGCGCAGGTGGCCACGAGGTCGTGGGAGACCTGCGCAAGGGCTGACAGCCCTTTCTCAGTCTCCGGGGCCCCGTCTGCAGATGTCACTTCCACCCAATGTGCGGCCTCGTCGCCGATCACGGTCGCCCGCGTGAACAGTCGTTCCCGCTGGCGTGACCGGTGTTCGGCTGCCGCCTGCAGGTCTGCCTCTTCTTGACGAAGTCGGTCCTGTTCCTCCTTCTGTCGCTTGGCCTCCTCCTCTTGTTCAAGCCGATTACGTTCCTTGGCCGCGGCGGCGGCCCTATCGTTGGCCTCCTGAATGAATGCCGCCAGGCGTTCCTCATAGGCCAGGAGGGATTCTCCCGCCTTCCGGTCCATGGCCTTGGTCTGTGATCGAGTGAGCAGTGTCATGTACTGTTGTGCCCGAAGTCTTAAGAGTCACCCGAGGGCCAATCTGATGGACTGGCCCAGTACCCGGACTGGAGGGGGAGGAATAGGTAGGAAGCAGACAAGTGGGAAGGATCGGACAGATCCCAATTTGAACAGTTTCCTAATCAAAAAGAAGAAAAACAAAACTTCAAAATTCGGAAAAAGTCTGTCCAATCCCACTGAGTACCGAAGGTGATGCAGAAAGCAAATGTGAACCTTCGGTGCTCGGACTGCAGAGAATCAGAAAAG